TTTTGGCCGGAGTTGCCCTTTAAATGGAGGCTCTCAATGCAACTTACTGGGAACTAGCGCCATCTATGCTCGGTAATGTCATGTAACCGCCGCCAGTGGACGACACTGCCGCATGATTCGAACTAAAATTCACTCTTTACGAAACCCGTCTTACCGCTCATTCACACTGGGAGCGGATCCGCGTTCGCGAAGCGGTTGCGAACGCGGTTGTATAAAGATCCAGTGCAATTGCACGCGCACTCGATGACATCAAGTGCGCGTGCAATTGTACTGGATCTTTATACAACCGCGTTCGCAACCGCTTTGCGAACGCGGATCCGCTTCCAGTGTGAATGAGCAGTTAGTTGTTCAGTCAGCAACCTGGTTCAGACGTTCGCACTCTACCTTCATTACCGAGGCTACCTTTAAGCCGGGGTTCACACTGCTTATACAGCACACAAAAGATAGCCTGCATACAGATTCAAACGAGAGACACCGCGAGATTCGTGCTTCGAATGCCGCGTGGCAGTGAGTTCAAGGAGAAAACTTGGCACTCGGCATTCGAACCGCGGATATTGCGGTGACTCGTGTTTGCAGACTGTCTTTTGTATGATGGTATGAGCAGTGGGACCCCGGCTTTAGGAACTTCCAACGTTTTGCGATCGATGATCAATTTCGCTTGCACGATGGGAAAATCCACTAAGCGCTTTTTCAAAACAGATCCGATAATTTCCGTTCGAGCTCTGCCCGTATTAAGATGTAGCGGTGGAGTAAATACATGCCTCTTCTCGCAGACAAGCGGGCCCCCGCTTTCTCGTCAAGCACGCATTTATTTTGATTTTTGCCGAAAGGAAAGAAAGGAAACGGTCTTTCACTAACCCGCGTTTTAAACAGGTTATGAAGGGCCCGTCATGCTGCTAAAGGTCGCTGACATTCGTAACGAATCGTTCCACAGGGCGCCAGCAAATATTGCCAAAGTCTCGGACGTCAATAAAATTGTTTTAAAGCTACCAGAAACGTCTGAACGAATATAATTCCGCAACATCGATTTTAATGGCAGCCCAAAAAACCGGCGCGGTTTTCTTTTTTCTTTTTCTTTTTGTTGCATTTAAGGCGTGTTTGTAAAGGCTGTGAATTCGAGCCATATACCTTCTTCGCACCAGTCATGTGATCTTAAGGTATACCTGGACACTACAACACAAAGAAATCTGGTCCGTCTAAATTCCCATTTAGCGTCCACTGCTGCAAATCTTCGAACGGAGTTCGGTGAATGACTTGACTGAAAATATGTTTAGCTTTTTCTCTGTTGTCGTCGCCATCTTGAGTCGCAGATATTCTGTATGGGGAAAAAAAGCATGGCTTCATTTTCCCTCATCACGCAACCGGAAGCTGTACATGGTTTTATCACTGGTCGTGAAATCCTTATTGTTTTGCCTCTTATGTATTTTTTCAACGAGGTAGAGAGGCTTAGACGAATAAACTGGTATCCCGTTCACCAGGCAAGTGACCTCCGCTTATCTGCCACCAAGTTGTACAATTTTGATCACTAGACACGTGGTACGGTTTGATATGTAGACACGTATCAAATCGTGAGGCTTTTACGCAAAACTGAGCCGAGATTTGTATTGCGATCGCTGTAAAAAAAGAAAAAGAAAAAAAGAACGTGATATACTATTTTTTCAATACTCTTAGCTCCAAAAATCAGTTGTCTAGCTCCGATAAAAACCCAAAATACAGCACCGCTGCTGACGGCATCTAGCGGAGGCATTGCGAAGCTGCTTGAGATTTTGTGTTAAGTGCAGACCTTGGGCTTGAAACAAACGACACATAACTTATCTCGCTGGTACTATTAACAAAGATCAATAAGCAATTACTTGTGCGCGGCAGTTCGTTAAAATCTAGACGTAAAAGTATAAGGTCACGTGTCTAGTGGTCAAAAATGCGTAACATGGCGGTGGCCGACCGGTGGTCACTTGCAGCTACCAGTTTATCGCTCTAAAGCCCACTACGTCGTTGTTTTTTTTGTTTTTTTCTCGCTCGTTCCAGGTTGTAACGTTATCAATTTTTTATTCGGTGCGTATAACGGATGTGTGAACGAAGTAGCCGGATAATAAAAACAATAATATTTAATAATAATACAATTTTTAGTACACGAGAGTGAGCGGAAAAACTCTATAAGAAGACGTCAGCCTGCGCTATAACTCTATGATGGTGACAAACGACATCACAAAAGCAGGTTTGTCATGCTGTTGGATGTCGCGATCCTGGCGGGTTGTCGTAGGAGTTCCGGCTAAAAGCACGACCGAACGCGGGTGTCGCTGTCGTCGTGGCGTCCCAACTCTTGACTGCCAGAGTTTCCGTGGACTGTCAGACCAGAGAGCGACCTGCGGCAGAACAGGCGCCCGCCACATTCATCACCGCTGCTGCTGAGACACCGCCAGGATCGCGACCGGCGGAAGCGTGGCACTTCTACGACGTCAGCAGACGGAAATCGAGGGACCGCTTTTTTTGGACTCGGTAAACAGACCAGTCCTTGGCGCGTTCCAGTGATGACGTTTCACGCAGGTGTGTCACGCTTAGTGTCACTTCGCAGAGAGTTTTTCTGTGTCTTAAACATACTTTCAGCCTGGGCATTCTTCACAGCTGTTTTTGCGGATAAACAAAACCACAAATGCTTTTTTTTTTTTTTAGAGTGATTACGGGACAAAAGTGGTCACGGGAAATTCTTATTTTTTTTTTTGCGATCGATGAATATAGGGACTCTTGGGTGCACACGGGGGTGGTCTCTTTATATGTTATGTACCATTTTAGGGCAGGGGTGTCCAAACCCCGGCCTGTGGTTGGCCGCTGTCTCTCCAGTGGTGCAGGGTCGGAGGAACGTTGCTACAAGCGCAGAAATAGGCGGGCGTAAAGTAGCGCCGCGATGCACACCATGAGCGCGAAATAAAGATTGAGAAAAAAACTTGGCACGTTACCTTCAAGGTCTTATAACGCATAAAATGCATTATAGGGCCTGATAGGATTATACTCCGTTATGGGATTATAGCACATTATAGGAATATAGAATTGGAGATGGGTGGAGGTGGAGGGAGAGGTGGATGGAGAAGGACACCCTGGGAGGAACATCACTTAGCTCAGGGGCTCAAACACGCGGCCCGTGACTCGCTGGGTCACGGCCCGCAAGTAACCGGCTACGAGCCTTTGTTCCCTATTTCTGGAGCACTACACGCCGAGCAAGCGCCATAATAATCTAATGTCACCGATTCATTTCTGCTCGATGCGTAGGTGTGCTCTTATAACATATTCGCTTTCTTTCGTTTTAGTTTTTGCTCGCCAGCTTTTGTTCACCTCAGCTACACAAACTCTCGCTAAGCAGGAGCGACTGCCGAAGATAAAGCTATGAACTAGGAATTCTACCCTTGAGAAAAACATCATTATAAAAATTCAGGTGTTTTATCAGAGGGCTCTAAGAAATCTTCAGGAAAGCAATAATTGTCGTATGAAGAAGTTTTTTTTTTTCGAAACATCTTGACTTTGAATATTTCCCCAGTGAATTGAGCAACGCGAACTAAAGTGTGCGTACTCGTTGTTCTATACAAAAAAATATCAGCATGATGGCGAGGCGGTGTCATTTTAATTCTTGTTATCGCAGCAGGTAAGAGCCTAACTTAGTCCTCAAAACGAATCACACCAACAAAATGTAAGAAGCAAGACCATAAAATCAGTTCTCCATAAAAGTCACCCCCTTAAATTGACCCTCGACCTTTCGGGGGTGGGATATCTGGCCCCCGACCTCAAATGAGTTTGAGACCCCTGGCATAGGTTATCTAGGAGATGTTGCTAGGAGCGGGAAGGATGGGGAAAGAAAAGTAGGGGGAAGGGAGGAGGCATGGGGGTTAGAGAATTGGCGTGTCACGTGTCTTATATTTCCCCGCTAAATTTAGCGGGGAAACTGCATGGTGTATAGGTCACGTGACGTCAGGTCACGTGAGTCAATTTCCCCCGCTAAATTTAGCGGCGAAACTTTATTTTGGTGTTTACGTCACAGGACGTGAATTTCCCCGATAGATTTAGTGGGTAACAAAAGTGATGTATAGGTGGCGTGTCAATTCCCAGCTAAATTTAGCGGAATAACTGAACTGATGGTTTGGCCATTCGACATTAATTTCCCCGCTAAATTGAGTGGGCAAACGGAGTTGACGTACAGGTCATGTGCCGTGAATTTCTACAAGGTCACGCGACGCCACTTTTCTCGCTGAAAGTAGCGAACTGATGGACGCAAAAAAGTGTGGCATTGAGGGTACCGTGAAAAAGCATTTCATATGCTTTAAAAGTCCATCTAAACCCGGGTTCTCTTGCCATATTATTTACTGCTCATTGTCATCACCAACATTACACACTCGTAGTTCCCTGCTTCATGTCTGCGGAACATAGGAAACAATCCCTCTCTTTCTCTGTATATCGTGCTTAGCGCCATAACTTTTGCATTCTACGTCATCAGATCGACCATTCTAGTTAGCCCTCTGCTCAGTGTGAATATGCCAAAATTCCATGCACTTCCATTTATGTCCAGTGAGTTATCTGGGTCACAATTATTTTGTAATTTCAATATCATCATATTTTGGTTAAACAAATGAACTCTACATATTCACCCACCTTTCATTCCTTTTTTGAATTATTGATCTAGCGTGAATTTTTTGTTTTTAAATTCTTATTTAGGAATATTTACCTAATATTTCCTCGTTTACATTGTAGTATTTCCTTTCCAGCCCTCTAGACTGCGTCATGTCTTCAATCAGGCCTGTCAGCCAAAACGTTTGGAGACCTTTTTGAGAACCACTTACATCTACCAGAAAGATTGGCATTGCTAGAATGGGACCATTGGTAATTTTTCCGTAATTTAGATCAATTAACCGATACTAATGTTTCCAAACATTCCAGACGAAAAAAGAGGGGTCAGAAGCACTGTTGTATTACCAATAAAACTGACGCTTCATTAAAAAATGAAAACATTTGTGCAGCGGGTAGGGTTAGGAGGGACATCGTTGAGATTCCATCCGCCATCGCTGAGCCCCTGGTGGCTAATCACGGAAGCCCCTACGCCTGGTGGTACGGACAGCTCATGAGATACATACTCAGGCTCCAAGCCACCACATTGAAAAGAATCTCGGACTTCAAGATGTCCAGGGGGTACAAGCACCCTATCGTCGGGTAAGGATCAATGTTATTTTCATATATACTAGGGTTTCTGAAAAGCAGCGTAAAGTAAAACTCGATAAAGAAATGCACGCTGATCTATAACCCTATCTCAAAATTCACGAAAAATGCCGCAAACAAACAAACAAAAAAAACAAACAAACAAACAAACACCGATTGAATGTTTTGATTTGACTTGTCAGAACTAAAACCAACAAACACATTTCGATTTTACTTTGTGTTTTTCGGTGTCAAACAACATCGAAGTTTATCAGGGTTGCTTGTGAAGAAAAAGATACGAGGTATGTGGTTCCGAACAAGGAAGTTACGCCGAGCTTCTTATTTAAGGACAGATAAAAATCAAAAGTTTTTTGGTTTTCCATGATTTTTACAAAACGGACTCGGGGGTGAATTCTCGCGGCTTATCTGTATTTACAAAAAACACGAAACCTTACATATATAGACTTCCTTTGTTGCTAAGCGATCGGGGCTGGGGAGGCTGCGCGCTGGCCGGACCAACTGTTTCGCCCCACTTTTACATCGCCTGTCACTGTTCTCAGCACGTAAGTATTTGAGCAGAGAGTGATTCAAGACTGAAGGTCTACCAGTGTTTCCAGTTTAGCGGTCTTCCCGCTAAACGTAGCGGTTCTGTTTAGCGGGATAGATTATTGTCTGGCGGGCGGCGGGATTTTTAACCGGTTTTATGTAATCTTGGCGGTTTTTTAGAGATATAGAAGTTTTATATCGATTTACTGTCAACTATGCACCTGTCATTTCCATAATCAGCTACAGTCGTCTTTGCTTACTCTCAGTAAGGTCATGGTTTGCGACACTGACGTCTGTGACGTCATCAAAGCATTAAGGCGTCGAATATCAGAGCATGCTTCCCTGTTTTGTGCGCGCACGTTTGAACTGCAGTGCATGAATGTTCCTTTGACGTTTTCGTCACTGCTTCGGGAAATGGGCCCGGTGAAGTACGCTCAAAAAAGTTGAGGAAAGACTAGCTACAAGACCCCAGACTTTAAGACTGGCTACTGGAGGTTCCTGGTGATAGCAGACGAGCCAGGTGCCGCTATTGCAGAACGGAACTATCTGCGAAACACGTGGATTTGGTCGCGCACGCTGCAGGAGTGTTGGCGGCAAGGCGTTACAAGCAGCAACGTTACATGTAACGAGTTCTTTTTTTTTTGGTGACGTGTAACGCACTCGTTACTTTTTCAAAATAGTAACGGGTAACATATTTACGTTACTTATATCGTGTAACGGGTAAAGGAGTTTCGTTACTCCCATCGCATTTCCTTCCCAAAACTTAAAAAAAAATGTTATCCTGGAATTTCTTTCTGCATCTAGGCGCCAAGCCATACGTGATGTGTCGAGTTTTTTTTTCCCCCTTTTTTGTGAATAATTAGGTGAAACCGTAAAAATTATAATTTAATTATGTTCAGTTTGTGCATGAACCAAATGTTTCTTGAATGCTTATGATTACCTGTAACATCAGAACAGTCAAACGTTAATTCATAATTAAAAAAAAAGTAACGCAATGGTAACGTTCGTTACTTTTTATCAATAACGGTAACGCGTTCCTTTTATTTTGAGGCAACGTAGGACGGTAACGTGTTTCTTTATTTTCCAAGCTACAAGTAACGCATTTCGTTACTTCGTTTCGGTAACGCCTACAACACTGCGCTGCAACGAAAAAGGATGTTTGGGCCGCTGCACCTTTCTCCTCTGGCAGGCAGATGACTCTATCAGTTCAACTGGAGTCTGACCAGTTATGAACTGCTGAAGGGTCTCTTGCCTTGTTCGTATACGCTGACACAGCAATTTTCGCTTCGGATCACCTGGGTGAACTGTGGCGTGGCGTGACAGATTTCTAGTCAAACGACAAGGAAATTCCCCGTTTAGATGACATTGATACGACCTATAGTCTACACTATTATTATACCTATGGACACGAATTAGAGCAAAATAAAAATTGTTATAAAGTCTTCTCTGCGCGGTGTTTTGGATTTAGCGGTTTTTAGCTGCTTTCGGAATTCCGACTGCGGGTTTTTAACTTTTGAGTTTCAACACTGGGGTCCACCTGTCCAACGACGAGCATGCAGCTTCTAGAGCCGTGTTAGGCCTCATTCACACAGCCGTTTTTTTCCCCGTCCCGGCGATAGCGCCGGCGGCGTTTCCGCCGGGGGAGAGGGTTTTCGGACCGGTTTGAGGCCCAATCGCTCTGCCGGAGCCGAAATGAGCCGAAAGACGGTGTTGTACGTCCCCGGCGCCGACGGGAGACGGGGAATGCCAGCGCCCCGCCCCAGTGAGGGACGGCTAGTCACAAAATAGGAAACTTTCGCTCAATCTGGCGGATTCTCAAAAGTCGGATGACCATGGGCATGGCCGCGGGATAGAGGATTGACCGTACTATCCACGTCGCCGGCACTCTCACCGGGAGGGGGAAAAAAACGGCTGTGTGAATGAGACCTTAGCCTAGCAGTGGTCGGAAGATAGCTCAGGCATCGGTTATCGTGTCTTTGGAGATAATACGGGATCAGAAATTGTACAAGCAAGCGAACGAGGAAAGATCTGTTTGAGACACGGTGTCGCGTTTGCACGACTGCGATACAGGGCTCCCGCGTTGCCCAGGGGGCGTTGCGAGAAGGGACTCGTTAGGACTTGTTTAGGGTAGTGCACTGGTGAGCGTCTCGCACATGTAGAAGCGTGCCTGCCCTGCTGCGGAACGTGATCACGAGAAAAATACAAAGAAACAAGGAACATTTGAGTGCCGTCGAAGCACACGTCAAAACTAAGAGCGTGAGCCAAGAAACGCCGTTTTATGTAATCATAAGTAAAAAAACAAAACAAAAAAACATCGGTACGCTAGATGTTTTGACAGCACAACCAATTGAAATAGAGAGGCGTACCCTAGCTGTGGTGTCATGAATCTGGCACTTTCGATTGCTTTTCAGCGTTGAATCTAGCCGATTTCGGACGGCGAAGGAAAAGTTTTCTTTTCTTTTTTTTTTTTTCCGTTCTTCAGCATTACACAGAAAGAAAATCGCTCAGTGAAAGTGCCACAAAGTTGGGCGAGGCCCAATCTGGTGGCTTTGTACTACCCGAAATGAGGGCGCTAGAGTTTGTTCAAAGCTTCGGGAGGCGTATAAACCCCTACGAGTCAGGCTTTATCCCATCAAAAAGGGACACCAAGACGATTCGTTGGTGATCTTTTTTATGATTAATTGCTCCAGCAACACCGCAAAAACGTCCTACGGCATAATGTTTTATACTTTGTTTAACCATAGTCCAGGCGCAGTTGACGCCACGAGCTGTGTTCGTCACGTTTCTGTAGACGTGTTCTTTCATCACTGAACCAATCATAAATAGAAAAAAAGCCTGGTGTCTTGCACTTTTGAAGCCTGTTTATTTGAACCCATTACATCGTAGCGTCGGCTTCGTTTTGAAGCATACAGGCCGAAACGAAACTCGTATAGGTCACCTATACTGACAACCAGCGCACGCCACATATTGAATACGAGCGCTGTGTCAGTGTTTGGCATGGACTCGTGTTCGACCGATTGAAACCTAGTTTTAGCCGTACGCTCGCGTAGCCTGTCCAATACATGCCCCACGCTGATGATTCAATAGTCGAGGTATAAAATTCAGGACTGTAGCTTTCTAAAGAGCTATCTGAGTGTAGAAATTTCCACAGAGTGCATATCAGGAGGAAGGACAAGATATACGTGGAAGCAGCCCGTCACGACGTCCAAGAGTACATGGTCCACGTGGAAGATTACTACGCCAAGCTTTCCCTTACAACACACGTCGAAACGAAGAGGGTGTTTGTGGCGACGGACGAACCCAGTGTCGTCGACGAGATCCGGAAAAAGTAAGTCAGCTCACGATCTCTGTGCGGGCAGAAAAGGAAGAACAGGAGGAGACAAGAGCGTACGGGGTCGTCAGGAACGATCAGAGGGTAGACTAAAAGGCCTTTGTCTCCGGGGCTCTCGTCGAACTCGTTAACGCTCCTTCACACAGTGCGTGGACCGCATTGCGCTGCGTTGTGTCGTGCAGCTCAGCGCCTCCCCATTGGCTCGTCGCAAGGGTCGCCATAGCAGCAGTTCGACGAAAACAGTCTTAACGCAGTCAGACGCCGCTGTGTGAACGAGCCTTTAAAACAGGGAACGCCGGACGCCAGCATGCCGCATTCCATAAAGGGATGTCCAACCAGCTAGGATATTTCAGAACACGTGAAGCAACACTTGTCCGCCATATGGAGTGGAAGTTGGAGTCCGGCAGTCCGTCTTCTGTGTGGACATTCACAAGAGAAAACATGACGGCTTTCTGCCTCGCCTCATCTGCTTTTCTTTAATGTCGGTGTTCGTCAGACTTGGCATCAGAGGCCACCTGCCTATGGTGTGTCTGTTGCCAGTCCATCTGTTCTGCCGTGGTTTGCGACCTCGCTACCGCCGTCACCACGGCAGGAAGGCCGACGAGGTCCGGGTCGAGGTGGATTTGGTAGATTCCTGCGTCGAAGCGCGCGCCTTTCGCCAACACCGCCGGGAGGACAAAGCCGTAGTGCTCCTCCAGTGACGTCACGGACGTTGGCCGACGGACGCCGCGGAACGGCAGGGAAGTAAGGGAATCGCGCGTGCAGTTTCTGTAGGAGACACACATTTTAGTAAACAAAAACGCTCCTCACGAGCTAAAAGTCAGTCTATAGAAACATATTTTCCTGCGCAGAAGGCGATCGAGCGCCTCGTGGTACGGCAAAAAAAACGTCTTCCAGCGTGGACGAACCATCGTAAAGACGTTCGATATGCTAGCTATAAACAATTCTTTAAATAGAAATATTTTTTAACGGCACGCAGTAATATATTACTGTGCGAGATTATGGTTATCATTGATAATTAGGAATAAAAAAAAAATAAAAATACAGGATCCTTTCCACTCTGTGAGGGTAGATGACCACGAAGCTGTTCAGCACACGACACAACCATGACAATGCATTTTTTTTTATGCCTTCTCTTTCCCCGACGTTCGTCGTCTTGTCTGGCACGATCTTCATCGGTGGTGTTTGCCGCCCGCCGCTGCCGCTGACATTCTCGGTGGCGTTCCCGCCGTTGCTCTTTGTAGACGCCTTGCTTTTCGGGAGTTATACGCTGCCTTCTCATTAGGACGAGACTAGAGAAGTGAAATAGACCTATTGCTGAATTACCCAAGCATCAAGGAGTATGCAGAAAATGGCGTTCCACGCGCCGCTCTGGCTGGCGTCTGCAGCAATCACTGTTCTGAAGCAAAAGACTAAACAAATGGCATCTTGCACGCGCGTTCGTCAACGCGTTATTTTGGTTCTTTACTCCGAATCGTTTATACAGGGAAGGCGTGCTCGTGCGGCGCGTGCGGTGGTGCGAGCGCGGAGTTTTGGTCACGCACACGAAAAATCCGCGGAACCCTAGCCATAAACAGCTTCGCTGTAAAAAGATGCAACACGAAAGTGCGGATGTCGTGACTTCTCGAGAAAGGTATGAGTGGTTTGTTTAAACGGTAATGTGGTATAATTATCGCTGCAAATGTTAAAGTAATTATGACCTTAGCCCGAAACGGGAGCAGAAGAAGGAAACATTTTTTACGGTTGTAGAACAAATAAATAGGGACAAACACGTCTCTAACCCAGCTAAATGATTTCATTGAAACGCCTTCCTTGTATACGAAACCGCTAAGCCGCAGATTTCATAAATCAAAGAGATAAAATTCCACCAACTCGCCTGGTAGCGTCCAGACCGCGTTGTTACCGACGCCATCTCTCTCCTTTCCCCCTAGATTATGGCCAATAAACGCATTAAGAACTGAACTGCGCACTATCCCGCGCGCCTTCTTCTCTTCCTCTTTCTCGATTTCTAACTAAATTGATCTGTTGCCAGCCATGATTATAGAATTAAAGGAGATTACTACAGGGTGTCACAAAAAAAAAGAAAAAAAATTACACGGTCTTTTTTACCGCAAAAATGAACTAGGCATCGCCGAACGCTCATTCTCCGCCCAAAGGTAGCGCTAGAGGTCACAGCAAGATGCCAAAGTCTCAGCCCCATACGATAATGTAATCAAAAGTTATAAGTGATTTCCTGAAAGTTTCAATGGGAAAATGGAGCCCATTTTTACCCGTTTTCGGTTTCTGGTGCCATAGAGCCCCATGTGTCTGAAAACTCCGTCGGCCGCCACTTTCCCATTGAAATTTTCAGAAAATAACTTATAACATTTGATTAAGTTATCGGATCGGGCTGAAACTTTGGCACCTAGTTGTGACCTCTAGCGCTACCTTTGGGCGGAGAATGAGCGTTCGGCGATGCCTAGTTTATTTTTGCGGTAAAATAGACCGTGTAAATTTTCTTTTGTGACACCCTGTATAATTAAAGGAGATTACTTTATAGGGTCTTTCATCTTCAAAGTCCTATAGACGATTGCAAGCTAGGCGACTGGCCGCCGCCATATGTCTGCTCAAGCATGCACGCCCGTGCGATTACGAGCTTGCCAAAGCTACGTTCAGCCGCGCGTTGCACGCGCTTGCACGCATGGGGCACCAGTTGTGGCACCATGCTTGCAATTGTCTATATGACGCATGGAATGTTGTATTTAAGGAGCCCATTTAAAGTTGTTCACAAGACATTGAACAGTCGTTTTGGGGAGTGAATTGACACCACTAATTCAAGTTTAGATGTACATTGACACAATGACGTCACGAGACCCGGTTTAATACGACGTCAAGCCACGTAACCCCGTAACGTCATGTCAGGTGACGCGGCGTTCCGCGCTGTGTCGCAAACACAAACAAATCAATTATGTGGCTGCCTTATCGCGAGTTAGGTTCTCAACTTGGCCACTAGAGGCGCGACGGTTGAATGTCGTCCCCAATACCGCGAGCAAGCGACATGATGCGACATGCTCTTCTGTTGCCACAGATATCCTCAGTACAAAGTGATCAACAACGAGGTGGCTTCCCTCCAGGCAAGTACCAGGAACACCAGTCGAAACAACTCCGCGCTCTTCGGTGTAATGCTCGACATCACTCTGCTGGCCGAGTCAGACTTTGTAGTCTGCACATTGTCCTCTGGGGTGAGTGAACCGTGTTCGATACGTATTGCTGCTCTTGCTCTCATCGTCGTTTATCTGAATATTGCTGCCAAGTTCGAATTTCGTTAAATACCGCTGGCATATTTCTTTAATTAGTTGAGACACCCAAGTCCGCCCGCAACCGACGCTATACGGCCCAATCAAGCCAATCAAGCACTTCCGAAAGTGCATCGTCACGGCTATCGTCGCCCTTGCATGGAATAATATCGTGGTGCGTAAAAAGTGGCCACTAAAGCCCTATCGCGGCCCGGCTGTTAGGATTCAAGCACCCGCTAACCGGCGCAGGGGTGTTTACTCATTTATACATTCGTTATATGTGTACAACGAGGAAATAATTCTACTTTCATTTACATGGTTCTATTAGTAGCTTCGAACTTTTTTTAGAAAGGTTACGACTGCGACTAGGGTTTTGGCGAGACGCACTACCCGCCATAACAGCAGCCAATGTAGTGTGGTGCGGATGCGACGCGCTGTTGCTGTCATCGTGTGGAGTTCTCGACGTTCTTTCTCTGTGGCGAAGGTAAGACGGTTAGAGCGCAACCATGTCGAGAGTGTTTCGAGCGTCTCTTTGATCGTCAGCTGTGTCGGCGTAAAGCTCTTTTCTGTTTTCCACAAAATCAAGCGAGCTGACGCTGTAGGGAGTATCTGACGGTCATGGCTCTGTGCGCGGCTGCTGAGCACGTGCTGACGGCGAGCGTCCACAGTTCTTTTGCAACTTACATTCGGCACCATCGATATTTCCGCTCTTAGCAGGCTAATTACGTGAGATCGTTCGGAGCATGGGCTCTAAACACTGCCCTCAAATATGGCGTCCAGCGAATACTCGCAGCGAGAGGTTTGGGTATCGCCTCCTGGTGGAATTTTTCCACAGCCGAGAGTTGGAATACTCCAACTTCCTCTGCTGGGGCAAGCACGTGCAATGCCAAGCTTCTAAGCGCTATGACAATACAAACATAACCACGTGTGTAGCACATGCATTACCATAGCCTCCTCTATAGTGGCAAAGACTGACAGATCGCCACGAAAATCGGCCGCCGAAATTGAACAGGTAGAGCGGCAGAGAACGGATGAGAAGAGAGCCACGTGACAGGCGCCCCGCTGCGGCGAGACGCTGAAACACACTTCTCCTGGGCGATGGAATGTTCGCTGGTCCTCCTCGCGTTCCTCGCGCTACCGCTTGTTTTCTCGTCGGGTTTAAAAACCATGTTTCGAGTCCTCGCCACTGGCGACGACTCGACACTTTAGCGAACAAGGCGGGCTTCGTTTGCTAAAACGTCGTTCGATCAAGTCAGTGCCTACCAGGTAGTACCCAACTTAACCTTAATCATGGCACATGGTAGTGCGTTCACTCTTAAAGATTTATAGTTTCTACCATTTTGACGAAGTGAATAAAAAAGTACCTGTAAAAAGTCACTTCACTTTGTTACAACTTACTGGAAGATGTACTTAAGATACAGATACGGATACCGAGAAATGGAAGTACCTAGGTTTGTACCTCAGGTAAAACAAAACTACCTAGATACCGATCTCAATTTACTTGTACGAGGTACTTTACAACCCTGGTCGAAAGCATGATAGTTCCGCGGGAGAAATTGAATTGAATATACTTTATTAAGACAAACGTCTTGGAGGATAGAGCTTTTCGAGTAATGTCTCTACACGTATTTAAGTTTAAGACGACGTATAGGATGACGTCAAGGACGAAGTTCTAGAGATCGGCGCCAAGTACGGCGTCTAGGACGACCTCTAGAATGACGCCGAGGACGGCGTCAAGGGCTTCGTCTAGGACGACACCGAGGTCGGTCTCTCAGACGACCATAAAGACGACGTCAAAAACGACGTCAAGAACGGCGTCTAGGACGACGTCGAGGATGACGTCGTAGAGGACGACGTCCAGAACGACGTCTAGGACGACGTATAGGACGACCTTAAGGATGACATCTAGGATGAAGTCGAGAAGGACGCCTAGAGGAGGACACTTAAAAAGGCTATTAGCGTATTTGCGTGGGCGACCACCTTGGCCTGCGGAAGCCGCCGTAGATGTAGACGCTGCTGCCGATGTCGAGGCTGAAGATGTAGACGCGGTCGCCTCACAGTCCATCGCACGAAGCACGCAACGAGCACAAATGAAGTCCGAAGCGCACCTTTTGTTCACAACGCCCCGGCGGTGAAATCACGCTCCCGCACTTGAGCTTGAGCGGCGTGTGCTTGATGAGGTAATTTTATGACCATCTTTCGGGCACAACGACGCCGCTTTCGCGCGTAATGGGGCAAGTAAGGTCGTTCTAGGGCGACCTCTAGGACGACATCAAGGACGACCTCAAGCACAGCGTCGTCATTGAGCATACTCGTTGCGTGCCGGTGGCACCGGCGACCAAAAAAGCGCCAGAGGTGGACCACGTTACCCTCTCCACCCGAACACAGAGCGCCGGCAACTGGCGTTTTTTAGGGCGAAAGCATTACTTGTCCCAGTAAGCGAAAAGTTGTCGTAGATGGCCATAAAATAACGATTGAGCGTGCCAGTCAAACGTTATTTTATGGCCATGTACGCCAGCTTTTCGCTTACTGGGACAAGTAAGGCTTTCGCCCTAAAAAACGCCAGTTGCCGGCGCTCTGTGTTCGGGTGGAGAGGGTAACGTGGTCCACCTCTGGCGCGTTTTTGGTCGCCGGTGGCACCGGCAAGGGCTCGCCGCTGATTGGGCACCTGACTTCGCCATTATTGTGCATAGTGTGCTCTGGAATTTAGAATTAACGCGAACATTTAAGCAATCGATTCGTACCTAAATTAAAAATTATAGTTAGTCATGGCAGACTAGGTGGCGCAACGGAACCAGTAATAGTTGCCCACTCTCTTAGATAGCAGCTATCAATGTCTCCAGCCATGTAGCGAACGGAAGCTCCTAAACAGAAATCCAAGACCAGCTTCACAACAAGTGCGCGGACAGTCGAGTGAGCCGCTGTGGCGTATGGGATCGGTCACTCCTTAAGGTTACATTATATATTACTCTATGCCCTTCGTGAGTTTTCTATCAGTGGATAAACAAATCACGCACCGGAAAAGCGCAGGATTATTGCGACAAAAGCGACGAGCGCCCTGACAATGCGCTTTTTGAGCTGCTCCATTAGCTCCACGGGAATGCAGCGTCGACTTTGCTCGAACTTACTGTGAAACGCAGTATAAAATGCGATATTTCATTCATGGCACAGGGCGGCAGCTTGGTGTATCTATCCTAGATAATAGTCACGCTGAACGTTATTGCCTCTTTTTTTGAGTAGATCTCTAAGGGGACAGCGCGACGCGGCTGTGTTCTCTCAGACGCACTCTGTCCACGCCGTTAGGGGAGGATTTTGTGCGAACAGGTGCGCCATCTACTGGAAATGAGGGTAGAAGAATATATTCTCAGTGAAATGGTGTCTCCGTCTCTTTTTCCAGTTTTGCCGGGTAGCCTACGAGCTGATGCAAACCCGACATCCCGATGCCTCGCTGAGGGTGACTTCTCTGGACGTGGAGTACTTCTACGCATACAACTCCTTCCCACCGATGAAGGCGCTCTACGGCAACCGACCGGCGTCAGCGAGAGAACTTGGCTGGCCAGGGGCCGGCGTGCTGATTAAGAGACCCGGGGCCGGCTGGGCGATCGCGACGGCGTTGTTCAAGAGGTACAACGACGGCTTCAACCCAGGTCGCCTATTGAGCGCCTCCAAGAGAAGCAAATCCAAACAGTATCCGAGGTTCAAAACCACGCAGACGTACTTTGTTACAAATTTCAAGGCTTTTACCGCGCCCTTACGTTAAACAGCTTTTGCAAGAACAAAGAGAAGCGTCATCCGGGTTTGAAGGTTTTCTGCAAAGCTTGCAGCGCCACCCGCTGCGCCGAAAGGAATCCCGGGAACAACCTGTATACAGAACCGGCTGTAGCAGACGCCGGGGGCGACCTTGGGGGTGACAGAGGACACTCATGCGAGCAATTTCGCTCCCTCCCCCCCCCCCCCCCCTCTCCCTGTCTCTACTCAGTGTCACGTGCTGCGTACAGGACTTTTCCCCGGTTTGTTGCGGGCTTCGCACACGGCATTTTGAGATTTATGAAAAAATGTACATTAATGTTCGCGGCACTCGTGCTCACATTGGTTATCGTTGTTTGACTTACTCTATGCGTGTGCTGTGCGATAGTGCGAAATACGCAAAAGGTTGATTATCCCCCATCAAGCGGTACACATAGAGGCAAAGCTACGGGCTGGCTGGTCCAACCTAGTCCAACCAGGAGCCAATTCGAAACCTCGTGGGAGATGACCCCGACACGCGTGCTTCTTACCACTCTGGTACGCACGCCAGAGCTGTATATGTCGCGTGTTTTCTAACTGGCTCCTGACCGGGCCTGGAGGCTCGCAGCTTCGAAGGTAGTCCATCGGAGGGTGAGCTTTCAAACCGGTTTTAGTCGATCGGGACGCAAGAGCCACAATTTCATATATATCTATATTTACGTTTGGATGTGGAATAAATAACGATTTCTATGGAACTTAGGATTTTTGCCGATCTCTCTTTGCGGTTGTTTCAACTCAGTCGCTGACCTCCCGTGACGGGCGGAGAGACATGGCGGTGAGTCCAACCTGACATGCCTTTGTTGTCGTCGTCACCTATTGTTATAAGGTGGAGCGCGTCTGTAGCGGGACCTGGAGAGTTATAACTTGTTTACAATGTTAATTATGAGCATTGTTTTATGATAAGAAAAAAAAAAAAAAGCGGCCCTTGACCGCTTGTGAACTTTACGAACGGCCCCCTCCCTGTTTCGCATTTACGCGACAAGCATCCGCGAACATGCCGGCCATCACCATCACTGATACAATTGAAACGCTTCTTGACCTTGCGATAATTACCGGCTGCTCGTACTTCCTGTAACCCTCCAACAGTTTTTTTTTTTTTGCGTGTCAGCGAGGGAAGTTGACCGTCTGTTCGCCTCAATTTTAGATAAAAACTCACCGGACACACGCTCACCGGAAGTGCGTGCACCGCAAGTAAGCTTATGAAACTTAAGTTCACCGGAAGTAAACTCATGGATGGTGGGCTCACCCAACATAAGCTCCCGAACTGATGTCGCGGGGCATAAAAATTGAACGGACATGAGCGCTTACAGGGCAAAAAATTCGCCCATCTCGGTTGAGCTTTCGTCCGATTTCGTTCACCGGAACGAGTCCGGGGTCGGAGCGCGCACCTGTAAAGCAGTGTGACGTACTTGGCTTCGAGGCTCTGATTGGCTCTTCTGATATAGCAATTCTGTTACTCTCACGTTAGTATGGACGAAAGTTAAGTTTAATCATAATATAGGAGAACAAAAAAATGCCGACATATTTAGGGCACAAAATGAGAAACAAACACGAATCAGATTATCGACATGTTCATTTACGAGCCCCAAACAGGTAATACGCCTCGCAACATGAAGAGCAAACCAAGAACCTCGGTTCGCAACCAAGAACATTGTTTTACTAGCGGATATAACCTTGAAGGGTCAATTTCGAATCAAAAAGCGTGAACATAGTAAAACACGCCTTGATGTGGGCTATTCGTAGTAATTATACTAGCAACGTGTCTGCGATTTTATGTACGGAAAAACCAGCAACGTACATTTTGCGACTAATTATTTACCGGCTCCTATTAAGATAAAACATTAAAAAAAATTTTCTGGTTATCCTTACGTATCCGTTTTAACTATTCATTAGATCGTACAGGTATACAGATTGATGGTCCGTTTTTAATTAGAAACAAAGAAATAGTGAATCTTGCAGTTCTGAGAGAGCATATATTTCCTTTCCAACTCGTTCGGCGGAACTGTGGACTGCGCCACTTTGCCTAAATAATTATTATATGCAATCACTACAGTACACACGCCCTACTGCGCTTAGTGCTCACCTAAACAATACCATCGAATTTTTCTTAATTCGAATCACAATGGAAGATTTGCGCGATGATTAATACAGAAATAAGTAAATAAATTATCAAGAAGGCGGTTTATTTTGAATTGTGCTCTATGTTGAGTACGCTGTTGGCTGCGTATAATTTATTGCAGTCGGTGTTATATGAAACTACAAGGGAGCAAAGTGCTCCGTCAAGCTGTTATATTGGTTCTTTTTCTTCTTTGCTTCCGTCATTCATGTAGCAGAATGGAAAATAAAGTTATTTATGACTACAAGACCAAGCAAATATATAGGCAGTCAATATCCAAAGTATATTCGGGTATTCTAGTATTAAATTTTTGCTTTTCGTAGATTTTCTGTTCAACGAAGATTTTCTGAGGTACCTAGAAAAAAGAAACCGAATTGAAGTGTCTGGAATTCGAAAATGTTTGTCGAGAATGCTGTCAACAAAGCGAAGTTCATCGCAGAATGCGTCAACGACATGAAGAGCTGGGGGAAAAGAAACGCGCCCTTTGCTCAGTTAGAGCAGAGCAGCCGCAGCTGCCTATTCGCTCAAAGAAAAAAAAAGTGTAATGACGTAATGGTGCTAATTTGTTCGCGGCTGGAACTCGGTGATACGTCCCTGCACCTTCTTCAGACTTCCCCAGTGGCGCAATAGGTTAGCGCACGGTACTTATAAGTCAGTGCTTGTGAGCTATGCCGGGGTTGTGAGTTCGAGCCTCACCTGGGGAAAGCAGTGTTTTTACTTTTTTATTGTCGTTTTTTAGCAAAAACAAACCACGTCAGGTTTCACCTGAGACTGTTTCATTTTTTTTCTGTTCATTCCGCTTCTGAAACTTTATCTTGCCGTGCCCCAGTGACAGGTTTGTTTACATCCTGGTGAGCGTCCAACAGTTCACCTGTACTCCTTCGTTATAAGTTGTTTTCTTTTTACGTATAATTGAAGCAATCAAAAAATAAGTTATTCTGGCAAACAAATGACGGAAAAAAGGGCAAAAAAAAAATGAAAGCCGTTTACAACTCCCTGTAACGCCGCATTAGAGCGCAGCTCTTGAGGAGGAGGAGGGAAGGGTACGGAGGGTCACGTGTTCTCGGGGGGGGGGGGGGGGGGCGGGGGCCGCGTTACCTTGAAAGGCGATCACGTGACCTCGGGGGGGGGGGGGTGGGGGGGGGGTTACGTGACCTGGTTTCCGCTAGATTTAGTGGGGAAACTTTTCCTCTAGATTTAGCGGGGAAATTTTTGCGCTAGATTTAGCGGGGAAATTTTTCCGCTAAATTTAGTGGGGAAATTCACCCATAATGCACCGTGCGGTTACGCCGACGGCGACGCTGACGCCGCTCAAGCCGGAAACGGGCGCCTAAGAGCTGCGCTCTAAAAAAAGCTCTTTAACGTGTTGACGGAACCCTTTGCTTCCTTGTAGCTTTGCGTATATAACATCAAATTATGCGCATCAACAGCATTGAAGCTCAACATAGCACATAATACAAAATAAATTGTTTATTACGTTTACGTCGTCTCGTTTAGGTATTACGTTTAGGTCGGCTGGTTTAGGTATTACGTTTAGCTCGGCTCGTAAGCGCGAGGCTTCGCAGCCTCCGCAGGCCCCAATACCCGCCAGGGAGGAGACACCCATGGAGGTTCCCGTCGAGGCGCCCTCCGAGGCGCCTACGGCCAAAAAGGAAGCCCTAACGAAGCCCGTTGGCGATAAGAGACTAATGGAATTTCAGGCAGAAATGAGGCGTTACGCTTAAATCACTCAGCGAAGCGGTTGCGATGCTTAACAGGTTTGACGTCATTGACAGCAAGTTCAACGCGCTAGAGGCCAGGGTGGGCACATTGGAGGCGAGGAGACGGACGATGGAGTTTTGTGTTCTTCCGAACAATGAGCCTTCTCCGACCGGAACCCCGGCATATTTTGGTGCCCAACGCCTCCAAGCGGCCACACCTTGTAGCACTGTAGAAGATTATACTGGAAGATCCAATCATGAAGGCTCATCCTGGAATCTGATAATGGAATTGCTGGAGTTTTCAGAGCAAGAGGGCTGTGCTCCGGCAGTTTATTAGATCCCACCCGGTGACGGCACACGCCATTCTACTTAAGGAAACACTTTCTGACGCGGTCACGTTACCGGGTTACAAATCGCACGTCGTTTACGGTGAAGGAAAGAGAGGCATCTGTACACTCGACTCCAAAGGATGCACTTCCGTTAAGCATGATATTTTTTTAGACTCCAGCAAGGTTCAGCACTCCTTTGTTGAAATCATTCCGAGTGTAGCATCTCTATATTCCACATCTACAGCTCACCTAAGGATCTAAAACAGAGGTTCATACCGCTCTTTAGCAGGGCAGCCGGTAAAGCCGGTGGTTCCCCGCTCATCGTTGCCGGCGTCTTCAACGCCCCGCACCGGGCGTGGGGTTACTCGTGAGCAACGCGCAAGGGAGACGGCCTGTGGCAGTTGGCGGCTGATCACGACCTCACGCTCGTCACTTACCCGGCGTTCCTGACCAAGATTGGCAACTCATGTTCGAGGGACACCATGCCCGATTTGATCTTTGTCCAGAACGTCGGGGCTGTGTCTTGGCACAACCTGAATGAGGATTTAGGCAGTGATGACAACTTACTCGCCACTTGCATCAATGTGAAGAGCAGACCGCTTAAGGAATTTACCATCACGGACTGGGATCAGTTTCGCAAGAGCAGAAAAAAGCGGGCACTGATCCAGGACTCGTCTATTGACCTAGAGCGCTGGGCGACGCAGCTCAAAGGAGACGTCAAATCAGTTACAAAGACGGTCCAGATGGGCCAGAGATCGATAGAATGGGTAGCCGCCTCGCACACCTTACAGCGACTCAACCTCAGGCTCCGCAAGAAGATGCGGAGCACAACCGAACTATCGAAGACCACTGCAAATCCCCCACCAGACAGCAATGGGACGAGGTGTGCAACTCGTTCGACGGTCAAATGCGAGTCGGCGGTAAGTGGAATGTACTCAAGCACCTGCGAAACGAGTCCAACTCCAACTCCGATCAGAGTCAGGTCATTAGCAGTGTCCTCGATGAGGCCAGGCAGTCCGAGACGGAAGACGCCATGTTGGACGGGCTGACAAACGAATACCTACCTATCGGTACCTCGAGCCCGGCTGATTACCCGTCCTATGAAGAGCCCCCCTGCCTGGAGCTCAACGAGCCTTTCAACGTCAACAAGGTCAGGAAAGTTCTCCAGAACCTCAACGGTAGATCGGCCCCGGGCCCCGATGGCATCTCCAACAGGGTGCTTCAAAACCTGCAAGACGGCTCCATTGAATTTCTCACTGACGAAATCAACCGTATTGGGGAGCAGGGATCCGTCTCAGAGTCCTGGATGACGGCGACGGTCGTCCTGATCCCCAAGCCGGGTCGGCCTCCGGGGCTGGCTAGCCTCAGACCCATCTTCCTCACGTCCTGCGTGGGCAAGGTGGCGGAGCACGTTATACACAATCTCATGTCAAAGCACATCGAGGGGAAGAATCTCTTCCCGTACAACATGATTGGTTTCCGCCCGTCCCTGTCGACGCAGGACGCGATAAAACTACTCAAGCACCAAATTTTTGACAAAAACCAAGGGATGTCAGGGCCATCCTAGGAGTCAATTTAGAAAGAGCTTTCGACACATCACCCACGCGCACATCCTGGACTATATTCCGGGACTCGGGCTGAGCGACACGTTTCACAAGTTTGTCAGTTCGTTTCTACGATCCAGGAAAGCCACGCTCAAGATTGGCGATCTCAAGTCCGACCCGGGGAGCTGGTACCGAAAAGTACGCCGCAAGGTGAGGTAATCTCCCCACTTTTATTCAACATTCCCATGTGCAAGCTAGTATCTAAACTACTCTCCATAGTTGAAGGGATCAACCAGACTCTCTACGCCGACGACATCACCATCTGGTGTGTCGACGGTAGCGAGGGCGAAGTCGAAACGGCACTTCGGGAAGCCCTTGACCAAACAGAACACTTTCTCACCAACACCGGCCTTAAAGAGGCCCAGCAAGGACTTTTTTACTGGTTTTTAATTTGCACCGAACCTGAGCGCACTGAATGTAGTAACTTAATAAAACTTCTATTTCCACAAATCAAGCTTTATTTTAAAAGTTACAGGCAAATTAAAATTAAAAAAAAAAACAGACCTCCTTCCTGACTGACGTCCATGGCCGATCGAGTAGCCGTGAACTAAAGAAGGGGTAATGAGCTGAGCGAGTGCTCCCGGCTGCCGCACTCTGTGTCGACGGCTCGAGGGGGCGCCACTGAAGCATGCTCTGGATAGGCTGTATAAAGCGGGTAGCCAGGGCGGCTTGCATTGCATTTGCTGCGTGATTAAAGAGTAATTCGGCATGACTCTTCATTGGCCACAAACGACAGCAAACACGGGGTAAAGATCAGTTCAGAACGAGAGTCTCTTCGCGGTGCCATACCGCCTAACCGCAAGCCAATCCTGCTCGCCGAAGTCCTTCGGAACGCTCGGAACCAGTCGGATCCTGGAGCCGGTATACGACTGCAGCGCCGCCGCGTACATCCGGGACCTTTCTACGCTCGCCGCTCGTTGGTGCCTGATCCCACTAACCCTTTCTAGTATGCGCCACGCTTGGTGGCGGGTATGGCGACGGGTCATTTCTTGTTTCCGTACTTTATAAACTGCATTCGATTTTTTTATTATCTAAAACACTGAATGAAAACTACTTTCATAAATAATTAAAACGGTTCGCGCCACTTATATTTTGTATTTCGACTAAAAAGAAGCTTTTAGCAGCTCCGACCAGTAGTAAGCCCAGGACCAAAGACTTCACATTTCGCGCGGTTTCGGCACCGCGGGGCGCCCCCGTATCGAGGAGGTTTCCACGTCGTCCGAATAAAATATGACGCACTGATATTTAGTTACTTCCTCCGTGCTTGCTGGCTTGCCCGAACCCCAAGAGACGTGGAAACCACAAAAAAGGTAGGCGCTTAAATATGATTGCAGGGCCCTTGTAAGTGCTCTTCGAGCAAGTCGGAGCTTCTCCTATACAGGCCTGTCAGGAGGGGGCCCGAACCAAAGGGCTTGATGCCGCTGTCCGAAGTTGACACAACGATCCGCACGAGTACCGGTAATCCCATTCCCAAGGTGGACGTCCTTAGAGTTCTCGGCACGCTGATAGAGCCGAATGGCTGTAACGGTCGAACGAATTACAAAAATCACCACGAAGACGGAGAACATGATCAGATTAATCAACAGAGTCTCCAACAGGCGGGGAGGTCTCAGAGAAGACAGCCTCCTGAAATTCTTTTACTCTTTCCTCGTGAGCCACATCACGTACGAGCCGGCCATGCGCTGCTGGCAAGGCCACGCTAAATAAAACACTTTCTGAAGCCGCAGTTAATGAATATACCATAAACGGAAGTACTTTGACATACCTTAATTGAGTTCCCTTGTCTTGTGACTTCACAACAGATAAAGTGCAGTGTTGCAGCACCGCAAATCCAAACCGGATCCCGCAATGATCGGAGACGAGCAGCTTCTTAGTTCTGACGAAGGCTATACTAAAAACAGGTCCTTCTCAAACAAGGACCCCTTCCCATTTTCCCGACGGACCCTGTGCTCCATCTGGCCGAACCCCCGCGTGAGCGAGGAATGCGGGGTAGGGGGTTGGTGGGAGGGGGAAGGGCGCGTACACGGAAATCTCTTTTCCCTCTCCCACTACACACGACACACGGACACACGGACGCTCCCAAGGACGGGAGAAGGTCGAAGGTCGACATTTTCAACACGCCGGTCAAGTGACGTACAAGCAAACACTTTTTTTTTTCTCTTTTTCTCTTTTCAGTTTTCTCGGGGGCCTTTTTCTTTTTTAAGTTCGCTTTCTCGCACTTGTTTTGTATTAGCAGGGTGTTGCCATGGATGACGATCCGGGCGCGGTGCGTTCTTCGTTGTTCATCTTATCTGAAACAGCGACGACGATTGTATGAGGGCGTCTAGATACTGCCCCTGAATGTGCTTTTTAAGTGGAACGTGCCGTGCATCAAGTGTGTCGTTGCGGATTTTGAGTTCGACATTGGACTACCCAGAAAGGTTGGTTACGGGGAGACGCAGAGACGAGGCTCGACTTTTTCTCAGTTACTCCGTTTTAGCGATTAAGTGACCATTTATTCTGACTGCGAGACTCCGGTGTTGAAAGCGCGTCTTCTACAAACTCTTAAGTTTCATTTAAGAAAAAAAGTGTTAGTATTTGGACGTGTTGCGTTTGGATAAACGCTCATTTTTTGCGCGAAGGCAAATTACGTGAATGGGACTTCTGAAATGTCAACAGATCATTTTTGACGAGATAGTTAAGTGAAGTAGAGTCAACAGATTCGTTAACTTACATTCGCACAAAGCGCGAAGCTCTACCATGTAATGTCTGAACGTTCGTGGCACATTAAACGAATTCGCCAGTTTTGTCCGAGTTTTGTCAACACTTTCAGCCGTGCTGGGCTGAGTCTCGCCGATCCCCAAGACACGCGAAATATCATCCGTCCTCTTGGCGAATATTCCGTTTGCCTTCGGGGACTAAATCATACAGATGCACCCTGTCTGAGGGGGACTAATGGCTGCTTTTGCTCGTGCACGCCTATCGGTCAGTCCCAGTCGAGCGCAGTTAGTCCCAGCTTTTGCGCACGGTACCTAGCTTGAACCAAATGGTCCTTTCGGGGAGCAACTGGGAGTTCAGAGGACAAAATGCTGCCGTTAGTCCCTTGAGGCCAACTTTTTTCTTAGACTGTAGTTGTCCTAGAGAGGGCACACGGAGTGACAAGATCGTTTACTATATGCCTCATCGAGGAGCGGTGCGAGCGAACTCAACATCAACTAACCTCCGAGTGGTTTTTGACGCCTCGGCTCACGCCCCCGGTTCGGGATCCCTGAATGACCACCTTGAGAAGGGACCCAAGACAAACACGGAGCTCCTGTCGGTACTGCTCCAGTTCCGAATGCACAAGGTGGCTGTTACAGCCTATATCCCGAAGGCGTTCCTGCAGATATCCATCGCCGACGCTGACAGAGATGCCCTTCGCTTTCTATGGTTCTCGCGTGCACCCACGCTTGACGAGGCATTGCCTGCCATAGAGGAATGGCGGATGACGAGAGTACCGTTCGGAGGTACTGCTAGCCCCTTCCTGCTAGGAGCGACGCTACGCCACCGTTTGGAGAGCGTGAAAGCACAGGACGAAGCAATCGCCGCCATCCTACGTCGCTCCTTCTACGTAGACGACCTGCTGACAGGAGTGTCGAACGTTGATGAAGCCGAACAACTCGCAGGTGGTGCGCAGGAGATCTTCCGAGCTGCCGGAATGGAACTTTGCAAGTGGAGTACAAACTCCCCCGGCCTACAACGGATCCTTGATCGAAGAGAAGTGAAGGTCGAGAAAACACCCACCACCACGCCTATTGGGTCACCTGAACTCACCAAGGTACTGGGGCTGATGTGGGACAAGACGGCAGACGCCTTCAGATTTTCCGGTGAGCACTTGCTTGACATACTCTCGTCCAACCGGAACACAAAGCGGTCCGTGCTGCAAGCCTCTGCCCGGATTTTCGACCCTCTCGGATTTCTTGCGCCGTATGTCATCCGCGTGAAGATGCTATTCCAGCGCATGTGGCAGCAGGGACTGGGCTGGGATGAAGAGCTGCCAGATGAGCTTCGCGAAGAATGGGCAGCATGGTGCTCTGAGTTGGTGGACCTGCGGATGGTAATATCTCCAAGGTGTCTCCTGCGGGTGGATGGGGACCTGACTGAGCTGCAGCTACGTGTTTTTAGTGACGCCAGCCCTCAGGCATACGGGGCCTGTGCCTACCTCCGCGCCGTGAACAGCGCAGGAGATGTCAGCGTGAATCTGATAGTCGCCAAGGCCAGGGTTGCCCCGCTCAAGACACTGTCTCTGCCACGCCTCGAACTAATGGGAGCGCCTATGGGAGCGCGCCTTGCTGCATTCTTGCGTGCGTCTGTGTTTGATGGTGACATCGAGGTGTCCTACTGGTCAGATTCAATGATTACGCTGGGTTGGATCAAGGGGACTACCGTCAAATGGAAACCATTCGTATGCAACCGGGTGACTGAGATCCAAGCATCGAGCGATCGATCCAGCTGGCATCACTGTCCGGGAAACTTGAATCCAGCTGACCTAATGACAAGAGGGAAGACTGTGGTGCAGCTCAGTGCTCACAAAGGGTGGTGGTTTGGGCCCAACTGGCTTGTCGGTGACCGGCGCGATTGGCCTGTAGCGATGTCAGACTGCGGCCTGCCCGGCGACATTGAAGTCGAACGCCGACAAAAGGTGGACATTTTGCTGACCGCAGCAATTGCGCCAACGCTGCTTTTGACGGTGGAGAGCTTCGGAAGCTACAAAAGACTGCTGCAAGTCACCGCCTGGATCTTGCGCTTTGTAAGGAATGGTCGAGGGTCAACCAGATCTCAAGAGCTATCTTGTCGGCAGCGGAAATGAGAGACGCAGAGAGCTTGTGGATCAAGCAGGCTCAGCATGAGTACTTTGCCCCTGAGATTCAGGCATTGTCCCGAGGTGGAGACATTGCTGACGGATCGAAGATAAAGGACCTCCATCCTTGCCTTGACAACACCGTTCTCCTGCGGATCTGTGGCCGACTGCAGCAGACCTCTCTTCCGGAGGATCTGAGGCATCCCATTCTTCTTCCAAAAGAACACTATCTGAGCAAGCTGGTAGTCGCCGCAGCTCATCAGCAGACCTCGCACGGAGGAGTCCAGAAAACAATGACGGAAATACGGGAAAGATTTTGGTTGCTGAGTTCTCGAAGAACGGTCAAGGCGGTGATTGGCCAGTGTCGTGTCTGCCAGCGTTTTTCCGCCAAGCCGGCCAGCGTCCCAGTCAGGCCACTGCCACGAGACCGAGTTCACGAGGGTCGTCCCTTTCAGGTTGTGGGTATTGATTTTGCCTGGCCTTTGTTGGTTCAGACCGCCGGCTGCGTCGAAAAGGCCTATATTGCTTTGTTCACCTGCGCGACTACCCGAGCGGTTCACCTCGAGCTCGTCTCATCCGTAGCTATAAGTGCCTTTCTCTCAACCCTGCGACGTTTTGTGGCTCGAAGGGGACTCTCAAGCACGATCTACAGCGACGACGCCCTTACGTTTAAGAGAGCCGCGAGAGACCCGAAGGCCCTGTGGGAGGTAGTTCGCAGTCCCGAAGCGCAGGATTACTGCAGTGCCCAGCTGATCTCGTGGAAGTTTATCGTCGAACGGGCAGCGTGGTGGGGCGGCTGGTGAGAAAGACATGTGCGCTCAGTAAAAGTCTGTCTCCGAAAGATTCTCGGACGTCAGAGCCTTACATTCGAGGAGCTGACAACTACCTTGATAGACGTTGAGGCAGCGTTGAACTCGCGGCCACTGACATACCTCCACGCGGAATCTAGCGAACCAGCAGATTCCGCGGAGGCGACTGACGACCCTTCCGGAAGTTGAGCCACCGCAGGCGTCATCTAGGGAAGCTCTCTCCCGCCGCTGGAGATATCGCCAAGGGCTCATGCAGCGATTCTGGAGGCGTTGGCAGCGAGAATATCTACTGGAGCTTCGATCGGCAGCTGCCCACCGAGGGTTGGGGACCTGGCTCTGCTGCGCGAGGATAACGCTCTACGTCACCTGTGGACAACCGTCCGTATCACGGATGTCTTCAGGGGAAGAGACGGGCACGTGCGTGCCTGCGCCATCAGGCTTCCATCGGGAGCCTCCACGCGACGACCAGTGCAGCTGCTCTATCCAGTGGAGGCAATATGATTGAATGAGCTGGGGGCTCATTTTCGGGGGGAAGATGTTGGAAAACACGCTGCGATGTGAACTTGAATTCGCCCCCTAATAGTGCGTGTGTGTGTGTGTGCGTGTGTGTGCGTGCGTCGCAGATCCTGCGGCGCCCAGAGAACCGCCAGCTGGGGCGCGTGCCCTTGCCGCGGGAATCGGAGCCTGCGCAACGAAGTTATGTGAGTCCGTTCCCAGACGGAGCGACTCGCTCCACCAAGCGGACAGAAGATCGGGGGAGAGGAAGAGCGTCGGCTTTCCGGTGCTTCAGAACTACCGAGGCAGTCTAATAAACCATCATCACGAGACAGCTGGTCGCCTCCTGTCTACCTAAAACGAGCGCCGTTAATGCGCAACACCAGCCCTAAGACGGCGTCGCCTGCTTTCTACCGAGTTCCGTCGCCTTGTTAGTTGCGAACGACGAGTTCGACGGTGCACGCAAAGCGGACCATAACACACTGCACAAGTTCTGTGATCAGGAGCAAGAACGCCCAAGTTGATATTCCGAGAATATTCGTACTTGCGTGGGCAAAAATAAAATAAATCATACCGAACAAAATATATTGGGTTCTTAACCATTCGTGAAATGAAATCTTTTGAGCCCATTCGTCAACAGTGCTAGAAATGGTTTATTTTTTTCTTTTTTTAATAGCAGTAAAGCCTTGAATGAAGCGACATTATAGGTCTCGAACTCGGGAAGAATAATGTAGCACTAACTCATTCGAGCATACTATAATCCTCTCAAATTTTCTGATTCACGAAAGCACGACCTACTGTAATCCTGATCAGCCCACGAAATGGCTTTATGCGGAAGACGCTTTCGCCGATAAAGTGTCTCGCTTTGCCATTGGGGGTGCTCGGTAAAGGCTTTTATTCGACCCGAACGCGATTCGCAGCCTCTCTAGAGTTCGGTCAGCACGGCGCACCGCTGGTGATATCTGTTTCTCGGGAACACCTACCGTAGCGTCGCGCCAGCAGGCTGCAGTAACAGTAGCACGTTACAGGGTACATCGCCCTCATGTTTGCTTGGATCGAAGGAGCGCGTTTCTTAGGCAGGGAAGTGCAAGGGCGTTCTAACGCGATAGCTTGTCGGGCGACACTTTGCAGAGATTTTGAGATCGTGGGCTATCGTCGCCACTATATAAAAAAAAATTCTTCTCTCCCCTCTTGGTAGGATGAGAAGGAAAGAGAAACCCTTTTTTGCTTCCCTCTTGGCTCCAGGAGGGAAAAGTCGGGTTTTCCCGTCGGCCGCGCGAAGCGGATAAAAAAAAAAGAAAAAAGAGGGGAGCCCAGAATGCTTCTTAAGCCTGTTCACGTCCTTCCTCCACAGTAACGACACGACGAAGGGAGGGTTTTCCTGTCGTCTGCTTCAAACACTTGTTTTCAAACATTCCTCGCGTTACACGAAATCCCACTTTGGCAGTATCCAGTTGCTACGCGTAATGTTGGATGGTTTAGGAACTTCCATCGCGCTTACCCACTTGATGGATCACTGGTGACAGTTATTTGTGGCCTCCCCGACGCCAATTACGAGGGCTATGAGAATAGACCCCTTGCAGAAAGCCCGGTAACAGTGTATCTCGGCATAGTAACTATGGAAACAGCGAGGCGGTCAGCAGCTGCGTGACATGGTGAAGGAAAGCAGGTCGCAACCTCGCTGTGCGCCAACCGAGCTTTAGGTGCTTCATATGTTGTTTTAAGGACAGTTTACGCTCTCCAGAGTATCAGTGAAGGCGCCAACACAGTGATGTGTCCCGGTCTGCACGTAATATGGATACACTGACACATTCGGACGGAAGGGAGTACTTATATATGCCTATTGGACCGTCCACCGCCGCGACCATTTGGCTAATCTCACGAATTCGCATGCATTTGTTTAATGAGGGTAATATATTGGTTCTGCATTATACTGGCTTTGCGTTTTCTTCACAATTGCTGTTAGCCAGGTATATGTTTGACATGGATAAACGAGCGTCGGTTTTACCCGAAGGATCTGTTGCCTTCCGGCCGGCCTCACTATTTTGCATGCAGTTGCTTCGTACATTATGTTGTTATTTCACCGCACATTTATTTAATGATGCTCAGTAGACTGATACCATTGGCAAGGCTAAACAAGCAGTCGAATTCTCGTATCAGTCCAGCGAACATTTTCTATACTTTAACAATAAACACACGAAAAAAACAACAAAAAAACCTTTTATCTTATGTTATTGAGGCATCCACTAACACTTTATGCTTCCATGCAGAATTGGGACAGCACCGGATTAGGTTCCCCTTGAGGGCATCCTTTTCTGCAAGTTTCGGCCACATCATGATTTGTCATATTTGTCATGATTTGTCATCATCTCACCATCTTTGTTTTCAGCTTTCATACCTAGCAAGCCAGCTAGCAAGGTTATTTTTCCAGCCGGCGGCGGAAAACAGCCGCGTTACTTCATTTGCCCTGCCACTTTTTCACGCAGAGCCAGCCGGGCCGAAGAAAAACATTCCTTCACCATGGAGAGCGCGCACACTGTTGCCCGAGGCGCACAGAGCTGTCACACTTTTGAAAGGGGTCTATTAACCACGTTGCACTTCCGTCCTGAGGTACGTGATGGCACCATTCACCCGCATTGCGCGACCGTGCTACACCTATCACTTTTTTTTTCTTCGCACGTTATGGGCGAAAAATGCGAGTTTCTTTCGCCTGTCTGCTCTTAAGGCTGCGGTCCCACGGCAGCCATCTTGAACAAGGCGTTAGTTCAACCAATAGATGGCGACACGCACCCGTTGGGTGGCCGAAACATTGGTTCACAGTGGGATGGCTCGAGCACCATCACGTTCCCCTCGTGGCCTTCCTCGCGCCGCTGCCAGCTGTGCTCATCATGCTCAAGTAGCGTGGCCCAGCAAGCTCATGTATGCGAGAATGTCAGGCTGGGTATAAATTTTTCCCTGATATAGGGAGATGCGGTTCGGCGGTTGTAACGGGCTTTCGCAATAAATCTTACCAAGAAGGAATCCAATGTTGATTGACGTGTCAATATCCTATCAGTGAAAATTTCTTATGCAGGAATGCACGCTCAGTAGACTCACCGCTGAATTCAGAAACCTCACTCAAACTACACTACTATATTGTGTTTCACGGGGTCCGGAAGATGTTGTAAAGGTTGTTACATTATAGTTCCCAGAAACTTTCTGGAAAGATTTGAAGTCTTCCTTGAGTCCAACGCCATCATGAACAGTAACTGAAAACGATCCACTATTCAGTCGGTGGGTGGCAAAGCGTATCCGCATCTGCGGAGTCATGGTCGATGCGTACTCTAAGTGGCTGGACGTTTGCACGATGCCTGCCACGACGTCCAAACACGTCATTGACGTTCTACGGTCTCTTTTACCTACTTTTGCCCTACCGAAAATACTTTTCTTTGATAACGCGCCAAATCCTGCTTTAAATAAAATAAACAAGTTTTTTAAGAAAAAAAAAAAAAAAAACGGCATCAAGCATCAGATTAGTGCACCATACCATTGCAACTAACGAGCAAGCAGAACAGATGGTGTGCGAAACGAAAAAAAAGCCCTTTTGAAGCTTACGGAAGAAGCAGTACAGTGAAAAATCGCCAGGTTTTTGTTCCAGCAGCACGTGACGGTCTCATATTACACGGTAAAAACACCCGCCGAAACAATATTCGGCGGACGAAGAGC